GTAGTGATACTGCCTCGGAAACCCAAGGAGGGGTCGCTATGAGTCGGGGCCGACTCGACGGCACATAACAACAACAACAACAACAACTGAAGGAAAAAACAAAAAGTACTAATATCCCCAGTTCCTTCAGTCCTTCTTTATTTAATATTATTTCTGGGCCTGCTTTTGGGGAGGAAAAGTACATACATTTTATAATTGTATACATCAAAAATTAATTTAATATGCTGCAAGAACTGACTGCTTTCCTGTGGTGAATATTTTGCTTCTGTTATGAATCTTTTAAGTATAAATTATTTTAAGTTTTTATAATGCCCTGTTAAGCTATTTTAAAATTTGCAATAATTTCGCACAACAAATGTATTAGAACTAAGTCTGTATTACCCTCTTACTCATTCACACATTTATTGATTGCCTGTTATATACCTACTGGCACACAAAGATGTTGAATGAAAAAATCAATGAGTACTCCAGGCTATCTGCCACCACACCCTCATGCACTGCAGCCACCCACCCTGACTTCACTTCCAAGACTTCAAGGAAGCCATCAGAACCAACAGCAAGGGCAGAGAAACCTGACCCTATCCAAAAGGAGAGAATCTTGAAAATGTGGGCTCAAAGCAGAGGTTTATCTAATGTGTGGCATATGCCCGGGAGGCCATTTGAAGGGGAGTGCCATGAGTAGTTTCTATTAACCCAGCAGGGCTCAACGTCCTTCCTCAAGCATGGCTTAGCGAGTGGGGGGCAGAGGGGAGCACTTGCCCCCAGGTGCAAGTTCAGAGGCCACCAGATGAGGGACAGAATGACATACCTAGGCACCACAAATAGAAAAGACACCTGACTGAAGTAGCCAGACAATAGGGCGTGGGATGGATAAGGCATTTCTGCTGATGCATCACTTCTATCACTGTCTCAAAAACCAAAACCAAACTCACTGCCATCGAGTGAAGTCAGACTCATAGCGACCCCCATTGGGTTTTCCAGGAGGTAAATCTTTACAGAAATAGCTTGTCCTATCTTCCTTCCACCAAGCAGCTGGTAGGTTTGAACTGCCAACCTTCTGGTTTGCAGTTAAATGTTTTAGGCACTGATTCATCTTGAAATTGGGAGGGGGGGCATGCAATTTAGAGCTTGCCCCTGGGCCCTGTTACTCTGGCTAAAGCCACCAGGGGCATGATTCCAGTGCTTGCCATAGGCACTATTTTCTATAGACAGCGTCTGGCTCTAATGCAGGCTGGGAGAAGTTGGAAAGGACATTAAAAAACAAAAAAACAAAACAAAACAAAAAAAACATCCTATTAGTGAGAACAGATTTTGATAGCAGGAAGTTTAGAAAGGGTTATCATTGAGGGTAAGGAACTCTGGTGGTGTAGTGGATAAGGCACTTGACTGCTCACTGGAAGGTTAGCGGTTCAAACCCACCAGCTGCTCTGCTGAAGGAAAACTGGGCAATCTACTTCTGTAAAGATTTACAGCTTTGGAAACCCAATCTGGGGTTGCTATGAGTCAGAAATGACTTGATGGCAGTGAGTTCTATATCATTGAGGGTAATGGAGCTCTGGTGGTGCAGTGGGTAAAGAATTTCTATGCTAACCAAAAGGTAACTGTTTGAAGCCACCAGCCACTTCATGAGAGAAAGATGTGGCAGTCCCCTTCTGTAAAGATTTATACCCTTGGAAAGCCTATGGAGCAGTTCTACTCTGTCCTATAAGGTTGCTATGAGTCAGAATCCACTCGATGGCAATGGGTTTATCATTAAGGGTGGGAGCTAGAGTCATCCCAGATACACTTTCTTTAAACAGTTTTACTTGGGCAGCTCTGATGGGCTGCTTAGTCACCCCAGAGATTATTACCACTTTCTCTGTGTAGGTGAGTAGAAAGCCAGATGGACCTGGAGGGCAGCTGCTATACTCGTGAGAGCTATGGTTATAGAGGATGGCACCAGGGGAGCCCCAAATTTCTCCTTGGGGATTTGGGACTGGGCCAGGGAAGCTTCCTTCCAGCTCTTTCTGGTCTAAGCCCCAGGGTCCCTGGTCATCTCCATTACAATCCTACCAACAACCCTAGGATTTTATAAAGCATTGGACTAAATCCTGGCATGCTAACAACTCCCTTGATGGCATCACTCCAATTTATAGCATCTGCATTCTCCTCTGACCCAGTCTGAAAGTCAGGAAGATGGTTTTGATTCCTCCTTTTTCTACACCTTCTATAGTATAGTAGCCTCTCTCTAGCCCACAGCAGGGGAGTCAATGGGCAGCCTCTCTGCTCTGAAAAATGTTCTTTGATTGTTCACAGCTAATGTAATCCAAAGCTCATCTGTGTCAGCCTGTCTCAAATGGGTGCTCACCTAAGCAGTGATTTCTCATACATCTGTTGTTAAAAATAAATCATTTTGTTTTTAGTGGGTAATCTATCTAACTTATAAACCTGTATTATCACTTGTAGGAAGACCATGGAGGATTTTGTGAGTGCTGGTGTATCCGTTGTTAAAAGTCAGAAGAAGGGTGTGGAACTGTTGATAAAGGAAAAAGAACATGAAATGAACATGTACTATGGCATGGCTCATAGGCAGAAGCAAGAGGAGGTCCAGGAAGTGCTTCAAGAAGCAGAGAAAACACATCAGGTTACACTAGGCAATGTGATGGATAAACTGGTTAACACTCAAGAGGAGCTGCTGTCCATAGCAAAACAGCTGGGAATCATGACAAACTGGAAAGATTTTCTGGAGGAGGAATTACAGGAAACCAGGGCAGCATTTCAAAGATATATCAATTATACTTTTCCTTCGCTTTCACCTGGGCATGCCGATTTTATTCTGCCAGAAAGAAAGAAAACACCTTCAAAACTTGTTATTAATGAGAATGAAACAACTCTTAATTAGAAGTCTTCAACTGAAATTTCACTCAAAAAATATAATTCCAAAGACCAAATAAATACACTCAAAAAAGGTTTATTGATTCCCAGTTATGTGCAGTGTACTCTTGTGTTATAAGCATTTTGGTGGGAAATCAAAGTATTCAGAAACACATTCTAGGCTATAGTGAGTGCAAAGTCTAAATGAGGAGAGAAAACCGTGAGAGGCATCAAAACCACTTAGGAAGGGAAAAGATTACGTGGAGGAAGTCTAAACACCCTTCTGGATCTGGCTGTAGTCTTTTCCACATCACAAATGTAACTACTTAAGTGTTTGTTGTAGTTGCAAGCAAGTAAAGGGACATGTTCTTATACTGTGATCATTACGGAGAAGTGTGTTAACTTCTAGTATAGAGATTATTATTTTGTGAACTTCAGTAGTATTGCAGATAAAAAGCGATATCCCTCAATTTCAGTAGGTTTAAGGTTACATTCTGGCACCCCCACTTCAAATAATTTAGAAAGAACCTTGTATTTGCCAGTTGTAAAAGAAAAAAAAAGACCCCCTATCTCCAGAGAAGGGGTATCCTTTTGTGTTTATATCCAAATTGAGGAGTGCCTCGAACTCATCTCTTTTGGGTCAAAATCCAGAAGACTTCTAAGTACTGCAATACTCAAAACCAAAAAAAACAAGCATACTGCCTTGAAGTTGTATCTGACTCATAGTGACCCTTCCTTGGGTTTCCTAGGCGATATCACTACGGAAGTAGATTGCCCAACACTCCTAGGAAGGAAGGTTGGGCAAGCTACTTCCATGGTGGTATCGTCTTGGAAACTTATTTCCACATGTACTAAATTAAAGAAAATTCAAGCCATAAAGATGTCTCCAAAAATTTATCCACGATAATGTAACATCCTTAAATTATTAATCACCAACCTATATTACTTGTTTAAAAATTTAAAACTCAGAAAGCAGTTTTCAGTAAATTAAAAAAATACTGTTCTTGAGCAAGTCTTAGGTGGATTTGTTTACACTGACCATTCTGGGATTTCCAATAGTACAAGTAGCGATTTATTTACAATTGCATACTGGGCTATATTCTCCTTGGTGTTTAACTCTCTGATGCTGCAACCCAACAAAGTGACTCCCTAGGCCTGGAAGTAACAGCATTTGCATAGTGCTTTACACAGCTTTCTCAAGTACCTTCTTTTCACAATAACCTAGGCAGGACTAGGGTTGTCATTTCCTTTTTACAGATGCTAAAATGACAACTATCATGTACTAAGCTATTTATGTGTGAGGCACTTTAAAGGCATATTTAATCCTTGCAATGACTTTCAGAGTAAACATTATTATCCCCAGTTTCCAGGGAGAGGAACTGATGCTCAGAGAGATTAAATAATTTACCCCAGGGCACACAGCTTGTAAGTGACAGATCTCGAATTCAAATTATTACCAAGTATGGGCAAACAGGTACCTGAGAAAGACCTAAGACTTTTCAGGTTTGGATGGGTAATAATAACAATAGCTGGCATGATGGTGTGCTTGCCATGTTCCAGGCAAGCTGAGTGTATTACACACATAGACTCATTTTCACAGAAGTCTTTTAAAGGAGGAACCATTTACATAGCCATTTTTTTTTCTCTTTATTTTATTTTGATTTGGGTGAAGATTTACAGAGCAAATTCACTTTCCATACAGCAGTTCACATATACTTTGTCTCATGACATTGACCACAGTTTA